ATAGATAGATAGATAGATAGATAGATAGATAGATAGATAGATAGATAAACCTAAACCTAATAAATCTAAAGCATAAAGAAGCATCTCCAGTATCTGCCTGGCTTTAATTCTCTGCCTCGCACGCGGTTTCTGAGCAGAAACGCTGCGAAAAAGGTGCCATTTATGTTCCACAAAAGCACAAGCCAGTCGAAATCCTGAGAGGCGTCGCGGAGGCATAATTTCTTCTTGCCTCGGCGTTCAGTCATTAACACGCTCGGTTCAAGGGCACCACTTCCCCAGAAGGCGTTCACAACCCCTTTGCACCTCTCCTGTGAAGCCAGGCAGCGAGCCCTCCCTCCGAGTGGAACATAGAAAGTTTGTGTCATTTAAAAATGGAAAAGAGATGAAACTAGTGGGGAAGTTGGGGTGATGATGGAAGGCTTTGACGCCACATTAGTCCACAACGCACAACCAGAACAAACAGCTGTGGAAATGAGGCACATTTATCAAGAACGTTTCTCCTCTCTGAGGGAAAAAAAACAAAAAAAAAAAAGACGGCTCTTATTCAATATTGCAGATGTCGGCTTGACATGATCAGTCTGTCAAACAGCCGAGGCCGTTTTTAGACGAGTTCATCAGCCCCACCTTTGCCGTCTGTCTCGGTTTTACAGGACGTGACCGAGTGTGTTCACGTTTTTATTAAGTGCCTTCAGGGGAAATTGTGACCGCTTTGCATGAGCAGAAGATATCAGACAATGCCAAGCATGCAGAGAGTTACCGGCTAAAATAATGGCTGCAACCTTTCACTTACTGCACAGACATCTGGAGACATGAGCTCTTAGAGCCCCGAGACAGAGCAAAGCTCTGGACACGAGCAGGGAAATTACCAGAGACGTATAAAATACTGGAGTAGAGGAAGTAGAAGTACAAGTACTATATAAAAAAATGGACTTGAGTAAAAGTTAAAGTGTTCTTTTAACTCCTTACTTAAGTGGAAGTAGGGATGTACTCCATTTTTTTTTATTTAAGTATTGCAAGTAGAAGTATTTCAAAAATTGCTACTCAAGTATTGAAAGTACATACAATTTCTCAATCCTTCGGGAGGCTTTTTTTTATAAGCTATTATGACATATTATGACTATTTATGACTCTATGACTTGGGGATGATTCATTACGTTTACTTTTCAGTAACGAGTAACGATTCAGTCTGTGAAAGTAAAAGTAAAAGTATTAAATTAATCAAAAATATGTAATGGAGTAAAAGTAAAAGTAGGGCAACAAATCTATAATCCAATAAAGTATAGATACTGCATTTTGGTACTTAAGTACAGGACTTAAGTAGTTCTACTTCGTTACTGTACATCTCTGGAAATTATCCAGCTAATTCTGCCCCGAGTTGATTAAAAAAACAAGAGAAAACATTTACAGCTCGTGCCACTAATATATTGAAATGAGCTGGATCTCTTAATTATTTATGGCAGGAAATGGAAGCCACCAGGAATCTGTTATCGACATTTAACCAAACCCGCATTAAAAGTTGCAGATTTCCCCTTAACGGCTACTTTATTCCGTATTTAATGCTCCATAAAACACGACTGTTTGTGCAGCTTCTGTCTCGTTTTTAGTGGCTTTACTCGAGCAGAGGTAAAGAAAAAGCCTCTGATGGGGAGTTTAATGTCGACCATTTGGGTTAAACGACCTGACGCCGCCCAAAGCTTCGCGGATCTCTTTGGATCATCACCGATATGGATCAGCTTTCCCGTGAATAGCTCCTAATATGAGAAGCCGTTCCATCAGTGACTATTCTTTTCACTTTTCTGGCTCCGGCTGGCGTGTTTTGTCTTGTTTGGCTAAAGCACCGTCTGAAACCATGGCAACCGCGGGATGACATTGAGCCGTCGCGGTGCAATATAAATAACATCGTCTTTATTATTATTTCTGAGGCTCTGATGGTGTCAGGACCCCCCTCAGAAGAGCCGGAGCGAGCACACACTGAGGGGCCGAGATTGAATTTTGACCACAGTTCTGGTGACACGAGTGGGATTCCTGACATGATTCAGCCTCTCCGGGTGGGGATTGACAGCCATGGCTGCCTTTACTCCCCCACAAGAACGAGACAGTACAATATGAGACGATGCCACTGCTTCAGGAGTCTTTTTCCTCCTGGTTTTTGACTTTTTAGGAGTTTTGGGGACCTGGTTTCTGGTGGTTTTCCGTTCATAACCGAAGGTATCTGGATTTTTCCATCTTTTTCCCCAAATTTTCAGTCTTATTATGTCTGTCAGGGCCTTTTAAATCTGACCTATATGGCAGAAAAAGGGCCCCTAACTCAAGGGATGAACCAGTGCTGTGTAAACCCACAGACAACTCATGAAATAACCAATTCTCAGACTTTAACAAACTAGTTTGATCACTAAAACATTAACAAACTAAACAACTAAAACATTCCCAGTGTGTCCAGTGGTTGGTTAGGATTCAGCTTAACTGGGAGAGGTATCCGAGTACAAACCCTTTTCACAGCCTCTAGTGGAGGAGTTTAAATTCTTCAGGGTCTCTTTTTGTAGATTACCTTTAATGTAATCTAATTTGTTGTCCTTATTTCTTTTGTAATTTGTGTTGTAAAATTACGAGGTTAGATTAATATTTCTTTATATTTGAACAAAGCGTTTTATTTTGAAGGGCTCTCGTCGATATATTAAAGTGTCAAAAGGTTATTTAAAGGTATCAAGTGTTAATATTGTGCCGATCTATTTTTATCTAAGATAAAACGTCTGTAAAGTTTAAAAGACTGTTTAGTGGAACGTAATTGTATTTTTCATTTTTCAATTTCTTTTAGCTCTTACGGTGAGTTCACGTGAAACCGTTTGAATAAAAAGGATATGAACCATCAGTAAAAGAGTCCGTCCATCTATTAGCCGGGGACGCTACATTTCTACTAATTTGAAAGGGAATGGTTTGGCTCGAGCTGACCTGTGGTTATGAGGGCCAGTGGGTGACCAGTCAGCAGGAAGAGGTTCAGAGTGGATATCTGCTGCTCCTCTGAAGGAGAAGGAGCTGGTGTTTAGGACACAGCCCTCCAGAACTCACTGGAGACCAAAGCCTGTGGATCTCTCATCAAACTGGTGACCCACGGCCCAGTTTCAGGCAGCAGACGGATGGGCCTCGACAAACAAAAGTGGAGCGTCTCACAAAGCTATTTGTCTTTTCTCAGACCTTCCTGTTATTCCAGACTTTTCTCTGGATTCTTTCATCTTTTTCCCCAAATTTTCAGCCACTTTCATTTGAGCTATATGGCAGAAAAAAGCCCCCTAACTCAAGGGGTGAACCAGTGCTGTGTAAACCCACAGACAACTCATGAAATAACCAATTCTCAGACTCTAACAAACTAAAACCTTAACAAACTAAACAACTAAAACATTCCCAGTGTGTCCAGTGGTTGGTTAGGATTCAGCTTAACTGGGAGACAGAGGCTTTAAAGGCGGCCTTTATCTTTTCCCCAAATTTTCAGCCTTATTATGTCTGTCAGGGCCACTTACATCTGACCTTTATGGCAGAAAAAAGGCCCCTAACTCAAGGGATGAACCAGTCATGACAGTCTTTAACACACTAAAACATTAGTTTGATCACTAAAACATTATTTTGATCACTAAAACATTAGTTTGATCACTAAAACCTTAGCAAACTAAACAACTAAAACATTCCCAGTGTGTCCAGTGGTTGGTATGGATTCAGGTTAACTTTTAGACTTTAAAGGCTTTAAAAGGCTTTAAAGGTTTTAAAGGCAGCCTACATGGTGTGGCTCTTGTTTTCCACCAGGTTGATGTCTCCGGGCTGCAGCTCTGGGATCCACCTCTCCAGCTCCTCGATCCAGGGATACTTCAGGGACGAGGGCACCACCACCAGGAGGGGCCACTCCCGCCTGTAGGCGCACGCCACCGCGATGGCCTGCACCGTCTTCCCCAGGCCCATCTGGGCCAAAACCAACACATGGAGAGGGGGGAGAGGGGGGAGAAAAACAAGTCAATTCTGCAGTGACTGTGCTGCAAATTGCAAACGACGGCTGAGTAGCGGCGAGCCCCAAGAGTAATAAGGTCTCAGAATGATTCTGGTGTCAAAACCGATTAGGCACATGGGAGTGCGGCGGAGGGCTGACAAATTAATTTGGAAGGCACGCCGCAAACTCCCAGGTTCTCCTTTT